GAACAACCTCAAAACACAATCTATGAAAACCTCCGATGCTCGAACTGATCGGTCGTCAGCAATCTCGACCCCTAGAGGGCAATCCAGCATGCCCGAAGACTCAGGGAACCTCTTGCTAAGTGCAAGAGAGACAAATGATCGGGTAGCACCCGAATCAAACAACACCCGAACTGGAATACCGTTCACATGAAACGATCCTAAAAAAACACATAACATAGCACATAAATATCATAAACAACATATAATAAAAGTTAGGGAGAAGAAAATCATACTCGTCACCACATCGGGTGCGGCGCGTGCCTCCTCGGTAGTCAACTGGAAGGCTCGGCTCCTCACCACTGGAGCCTCCGACTTGCCCTGCCAGCCATCAGTGATCCGCAGGGTCGCTGGAGCTGGCGCCGCCACTGGCACTGCTGTTGTCAATCTCAGGCAGTTGGCCTTTTTATGGCCTCGCTGGTTGCAGTGAAAACACAGCAACTCTGATGTCGGAATGGTGTGGGTAGGGGCTGTACAATCCTTGCTGAAGTGCCCCGTCTTGCCGCACTTGTAGCATCCCGATCTCCCAGTCCTGCATACTCCCTCATGCGATTTGCCGCATTTCCCACAGCGGCCCCGACCTTACTGGCCCTTCGACCCAGCGTCGAATCCCTTGGGTTTCTTCCCCGAAACCCCAGTCACCCGCTCAGTCTCCGCCTGTCTCCGCCTTCCTCTTCCGGAGGTGCTCTATATCAATCTCCCTCTCCCTCGCCCTCGCAATCATGGAATCCAGTGTCGGACAGGCTGAGTAGCTTACATGCTCCCGGATGTCAGCTCTCAACATATCATGATAGCGGGTCTTCCGTATCTCCTCATCTCCTGCATACTAATGCACTAGTAAGGCCCTCTCTTGGAACTTGGCGGTAATCTCCCCCACCGTCTTAGTCGTCTGCGTCTGCGTCATATCAAGAAACTCCATGGCCAACTGCTGAAGCTCCACAGCTGGCACAAACTCATCCCTAAACCTAGTCACAAAGTCAGACCAGGTCATAGCCTCAACTGCTGAGGCTCCCAAAGAATCACCAACCGAATCCCACCAATCTCTAGCCCTATCCCTCAAACATCCAGCAGCATACCGAACCTTCGACCCCTCAGGGCAGAAGCTAGTCAACTGAGCAGACTCCATGTCCGCAATCCATCTCCTGGCAACAATGGGGTCCTTCACCCCGTGGAAGTCTGGCGCACCGCATCCCCTGAATTCCTTAAAGGACAGTGTGCGCGCCCCTGACTGGCTAGCCGCCCAGTCACTCCTAAACGCCCTGAGGCGATCCTCCATCAGCTCGATAATCCCCTCCTTGATCGACCCGAAAATCACCGGGGTCGACTCAAGGATGCCTCTAGTGATCTCAGAAGCAATGAACTCACGTAGTCCCTCATCAACTGACTCGACACCTGATCCCGAACCTGATCCTGAGCCCGATCCTGACCCTGAACCTCCTCCTCCTCCATGTCGCTTAATCATCACTATTATGAAACAAAACACATAATAGTAATGGTCATACATAACCTCGAGAGGTTTCACACACTATAAGTTCCCTAGTTCCATCTCGGTCCTCCTTGACTCGAGTACGGATCCTCTTCTTTCAGTAGTACGGGCCCATACTACCTTCCACATCTATCTGTACTTTCCTCAAGGATAGCCTTGACTCTACCAAGTCCCTTCTACTACTATTGATCTCTGCACTAATCTCATCCTAGGCTTACCCTAGGGTAACTTTCCGACCTACTCTCCGCCATCAGCTGCATAAGGAATTCCTGCATCCTTTACCTAACTAGCTTGTGAATACCATTACATATCACTAAGACCAGATAATTCTTCGAATGAGAGGCCCTTCCCTACAACGGTTGGACTCAAACAAGAGTTGCGCAATAGGGCTAGTCCTAACCTTCTGAAATTATTTAGTCCTCGCAATATGTAACTTAACGTATTCGTTTACTAGTTAGCTAAAGATAACTAGAACTCCTAAAAGCACAAGGCACGCAACATTCAGGCATTGAGTAACCACACCAAGCGTATAATTCAATAAGCACATATAGCAGGAACATAAGGCGTCTTCCTAGATCCTTAACCCTAATCTAGCATGCAGTTCATATACAAGGGCAACAAGCATATAAGGCATCATTCCTAGATGCTTAGCCCTAATCTAGCATGCGATTCTCATAATCATATCACATCATAACATAACATGTATGGATATCTTGGGGAAAACTTACTTGAGCTCGTCCGGTCGCACGCATCACACACCTTGTTCTTTCTCAAGACTCCTTATTTAATTTTTTTTTTGAAAAATTATTTCACAACCAACTTGTAACATCCCAATTTTCACAACCAAAAATTTTCGTTATAAAAATCTTTCAAACCCTCGATTTGAGTCCAGACACCCCCGAAGGTGTGTCCGAATCCCTCAAACCAAGGCTCTGATACCAACTTGTAACATCCCAATTTTAACAACCAAAAATTTTCTTTTTAAATATAATACTTATAAAATCATTTACTTGAAAACAACATCATCATCGTTTCAAGTCATCATACCATAATCACATGTCTCAAAATCGTATCAGAAAGTAGTAATAATGTCAGATTACAAATCCCATGAATCTCAAAATACGGAAATCATGTGTGTGCGATGCGCTGCTACCGTGTCGGCTACTTCCCCCCGCTGAAGAGGTACTTGAAACAAAATTGAAAACTGTAAGCACAAAGCTTAGTGAGTTCCCCCATCATACCACATACCATACAATAACATATCTAGCAAAGCATATCTGGGTTCTGGCCTCCCCTTTGGTCTATTTCAACCGGATAGTTGCCTAGCATATCTGGGTGCTGGCCTCCCCTTCGGTCTATTTCAACCGGATAGTTGCCTAGCATATCTGGGTGCTGGCCTCCCCTTCGGTCTATTTCAACCGGATATCGGGGACTATTTCACCCCCTACCACTACAAGATAAAATCATAACATACTGGCACATATAATATAACAGATAGTGGCATACCAAATAATTATCACACATACAATTATCTAATTACGAACTCCTACTAGTGGGTCGGCATTGTGGCCTTAGACCCACTTCTAATGGAAGGTAACTCACCTCGCCAAGCTGAGTGTCGAATCTCACGGGAAGTAACCTCTAACAGTTGCTCCGATGACTCCCGACTATCATAATCATAATAATACTTAGTCAGCATCTATAACGCCACTTAGGGTAAAATGACCATTTTACCCCTTGGTCCGATTGAAACATTTATAAGTCCCAATTCTAGCTTATTAAGCCCGACCCTCCTATGACCCATCAAGGACTCCCTAAGGGCCCACTAATTGCCCAATTTCTGAATTGGGCCTTAACCCCCAAATGGGCCCAAAAGTTCCGAGTCCTAATATAATAATTCCAAAGGGTTTAATCATGGCCCAATACTCTAATTCCATATTCCCAAGTCAACACTTATACTTCACAGTGGGCCACGGGGCCCAAAAGTCCAGGCCCATTCTCTTAAGGCCCAAAAGCCCAAAACATCCATTCTGCATGCGTACACGCGACGTACTTGGCACGTACGCCCAGCGTACGCTGGCCTTGACCAAAACAGGGAGTTGACCTAGTATGCGCGGCGTACTAGGGAGTACGCCCAACGTACTGGCCACCTTCTTTGGGACTTCATTCATGACTTAATCCATTAAGTCTTAATGTCCAAAATGCAGATTCAGGTCCTTTAAGACCTCCTAAACCATAAAGTCATGAACTTTATGTGCTTGCATGCATGGTTGGGGTCAAAACATGATTTTGGTCCTTTTAACAAACTTTAAGACCCACTAACACTTGCATGGTTGTGGCTTAACCACCAAGGTCCGATTTTTATGACTCTTAGTGCCTCTAAGAGCCCAAAAGGACAACTATTATGGTCTGAAATCATTAAGATGCAGGAAGCCTCAATAATGGAGTCCAAAAGTAACCTTAAACACCCCTATAAACAAATCTAAGAATATAATGGCCAATGTTGGAACTTGATACCTCAAATAAGTCAGAAATGGTGCTAATCTTCTGGATCTACAAGATCTTGGTGGATCCTTGCTCCTTCTTCAAGTTCCTTTCTCTTCCAAAGCACCAAAACTACACCAAAATACTCTCAAATAACTCCCAAATCACAAGGACACACAAAAGTAGGCTAGGGTTTTTGTGGAGGCTGTATAAGGGTGAAGGGAGGCTGAACAAACTGAGGTAATGTTCTTTATATAGGGAGTAAACCCTAATATTTAGGGTTTAAGGAGCTGCACATGTACACTGCGCGTACTCCTGGTACGCTGGGTGTACGTGCATGGCCTCCGCGGTTCACTCTCACGAGTACGCTGGGCGTACATGGCAATGTACGCCCCGCGTACGAAGCTTCCTCAGCCCTCTAATAAAGCCCAAACCAAACCATTCCATACTTCAATTAAGATGATCAATAATAATACCTGGAATATCCCGGATGCTACACGGAAAGTTATGAAGAATAACCAACAACCTACTCTATCACAAAGAGCAAAGTCCGCTTATAATCTACTCTGTCAAAAATAGCAAGTTCACTAAAATGGACCTTCAAAACCCATCAGATTTGAACAAATGATGAAATAAATTCTTTTTGGATTTTTGAGATTTTCTGAAATTAAAAACGGAAAAATAACAAAAAGTCATTTTGTATTTTTCAAAAAAAAAAAAAAATAATATTGGGTAGAAAGGGTAAAAATGGTTAAAAACCCGCTGAATTGTAAAGAATGTTGGAATCTGGGGTAGAAACTATCGAGACCGGAAAGAATGGGGATTGAAATTGTAAAATAGATCATCATCTTCATTTGATCAGATTATGAACATGCCCTTGATTTTTCATAGTCAAAATCGAACGGGAAATTCCGACTTCCGTTTCTGAAAAACTTGAAATTCCGATTTGCCTTGAAAAGTTCCGATCAGTTGCTTCTGATTTTGATTTCCGATGATGAAAGACTTCCGAAGGCGGCACCAATCCCGATCTCGTTTCAACAATTCCGATTTCGATATATTAATTCCGAAATCCAGTTTCGGTTTCAAGTGCGAGACCAAAATGCTGATAGTTAAACTAATTTCTGATTTAGATTTCGTTTTTCAATGCCGATTTATAAATGATGTCCCAATCACTTCCGATTTCGATTTCAGAACCGAATGTGATGTTGGAGTTGACCCGGTTCCGATTCCGACGAATTCCGATGATGGGAATGGTTCGAAATTAAAATAGTGAATTCTGAAAACAATATCAATACTTTCAATTCCGATTGCCTTCGTTCTAATTTTGATAACTAATCCGATGAAGATTACTGTTCCCATTGCAAATAAAGTTCAGATTGCAATTTAGATTATGAATTTCTGTTTTGTGCGAATCCACCAATTGTATCATCGAGATTGACAAATCTGTTAATTGCAATGGAAATTCTTTTGTTTAAGCTTATAATTGAATTGAGCAATTTGATTTTGAAAACGTCATCAAATATTCTTGCAAGATGAAATTAAAGCCACCACTTCTGGAAGTTGAGTGTGACGACGACAAACACGAGACCCAGCTTCATCGACCAAATCAATTCCTTTGTTGAAATAGAAAAATTTGACCAAAAGTTCCGAATTTGACCCTTGTATTTCAATAAAAGGACACTTTCAACTTCGTTTTGCAGCATTTGCCCTCTTTTTCACCTTTTTGACAGCTTTTAATGTCATATTTTTTTTTATTAAAAACTTTTGTGACTTTTAATTTGAAGCTTTTGGAATCCATTTATGATTCAAAATTGAGGACAACTTCTTATAAACCCATTTTTTCGAAGAAAAACGCTCATTTTTTGAAAATGATATCTGCTTCTTAGTTGGAAAACAAAAATTTCCAAATATCTCATTGAACCAACCAAATACCATTTTCTCTTTTCTCCAACTTCTAACACCTCCATCTGAACACAAATGGGAGTTGAATTCTCTTTCAACATGTTGGGTTTGTACTTTCTGAACTTTTTTACATGCATGAGAAACTTGTACTTTTGGCATCCAAACCTTTTTCACTATACTCTTATTCTTCTTCTTCTTCTTTTTTTTTAATTTTTTTTAAGATTTCGAGACTTGAGAAATGATTTTTGGATCTGAACTTGTTCATCATATTTCGTGATCTGAACATTAGAAGTCTTTTGAACACAATCATTTGGAGTTTGGTAAATCTGAACATCTTGATTAATAGGCTTTCTATAAGGCACAATTCCTTCAAAACTATCATTAGAACATAAAGAATCTTCTGTTTGAGTTCCAATAGAACAAAACATCTTTACTTTCACGATTTCTGAATTTTTGCATTGAGAATTGTCTTCAGAACTACCAGATTCGGATTGTAACAATTCTGAAAAACTTGAAACACTTGACTCCCCCTCAACAAGAACATATGAAGTCATTTTTTCTTCAGAAACTTCAAAAACTTCAAAAACTTTATGAACTTGGTCAAGAACACCAAGAACATCTTCCTTTTCTTTTTTAACTCTTTTCATCTTCAAAATTCATTGTTCATTTTCCATATCTAAATGTGTTTTGATAATACGAAATTGTTCCATTAAAACTTCATAATTTCGTAAGATACAACTCCCATATTGATTACAACTTGTGTACTTATTTATCTTCCCTTCAACAAAGATATTATACATTTCAATAGCATCCCTATCCACATACTGATTGTACAAACGCCAAGATTTTCTAAATTTCAGACGAAAATTTGGATCAATGACCTTTAATCCAAGTTCAAAAATAGAAGATAACAACAATGAGTTTGATGAATCCATCAGATCTATAACAAGAATCAGAACTTCAAGAGAGAGAAAATAGATCTGATAAAATTTCTAGAGAGAGAAAACAAACCTGAGATGATTTCTAGAGAGAGAAAACAGATCTAAGCACAAATCTGAGAATAAAACTCGAATTTCTTCTTCTATTTCACTTCCAAAACATGAATCACGAACAAATAAAATGATAGAATGTGTAGAGAATATCATATCTGAATTAAGTTTTGCAAAAACAAGATATATTTCATTTTTTTTTCTTTAGAAAACTTACAAAACTTGAAGAACAAAGTGAGATTCATGAATAAATTTCGCCATATTTGATCGTTTCTTGCAATAATCGTTGAGATCTACAAGAACCCGCTCTGATACTACTTGTTAGAACAATAAACAAGTGTATAGATTTTACAATGCATAACTAGAGAAAAGTATACTATATAGTTTTTAAATGTTTGGATTATAGTTGATCATTTGCATCAAAACACTGGAACTATAATGATATTTTATGTAGATTTTGTCCATTATAATGGATTGATAAAGAACGTTTATCATGCAAAAGGTCTTTGATCTAAAAAATATATGACACGATTTATATGACCTGAAAATATAATATGAATTTTTTTTTGGATGATAACTATGATCCATAACTTAAAATGATCGATAATAATATGATCTATACATTTTCTGATTATTTATCATAGACGGTTTGTAAAATATGTATCATAAACTTTTGATTATTACCATTCATTAAGATGCAAACATTTACGTTAAGAAAAGTCTATGATGCAAAAACAAATGATCTATAATTTCTATGATTAAAAAATTCGACATGAATGATAAAATTTTATGATTATTTAAGATGGACAATTTATATAAGATAAATTATTAATGTTAGCATCATAAAAATTAATGATTTAATCTCAATAAAATTTTATCATGATTATGATCCACAAAATAATGATCCAAATAATATGATATGTAACTTAAGTTGATCTAAAACTTTTTTGATTGTGATGAACAATTTCTATAAAATAAATAATAGAAGTTTGAAATTAATAATTTAATTTGAATATCCAAAAGCTATGAAAATAATTTAATATCCAAAATCCATATTTAATATCCAAAAGAATGCAATACTAAAAACTCAGAATGTATCTTAAAAAGGTTCTTAACCTAAATACATATCAGGCTAATATTGTTTTCTTAAAGAACCTGACACAAAAACCATTAAAAATGCAAATAGAAACAAAAAAACAAACATATCCGAGATTATTTAACAACAACCAAACGAACAACCTGTCTTCAAAATATATCCGGACCAACAATCATAAAACTCCAATTCCTGCAATCCAAACTTGAACTTTTTCAAATGTGTTTCACTGTAAATCTTCTACTTGTAACTTCACAAATTATCAAAATACTCCAAACTTGTCAGAAAGATAAGTTTTAATAGATTAAAATCAGATAACATATTTCTTCCTTATCTCATCCAATTGAGGGGCTTAATCATATAATCCAGGTTTTAAATCAACCTCAACATTATCAGGTCTGTTACCATGATACACTTCATAAGAAACAAACCATAGTCAACATGATTATTTTTCATGGGAGTGACACAAATTTTCAAGCCATAGGAAAGTTTTTTGCCTTTTTGTGTTGGTTCTTTTAAAAGAGACAATATGTAACACTCCACTTTTTCAACACCATTATACCATATATTTAGTTCATAATATTTTCAAAGTTTAGGTGAAGCTTCAGTCCCTTTTGATAAACTTTTACAAAAGATTTGTAATGGTGTTCCGAATATAACAACTTAATTTGTTACAAAACATTTAGTTATCTGACAAATTTGTGCCTTTTCTTTAAAGAATCTACACATAGGAAAAACAATGTCAACATAAGATCCACAATAAACAATTTCAAATTGATAAAAATAACCAAGTTAATAATATGATACACCCATAAACATATGATCCACAATAAAAAAAAGTTTACTAAAGTCATCCAATAACAAAACAATTTATCAGAACTTATTAAACGAACTAGAAAAAACAAGTTTCATACGATGTACAATAAATAAATGATCAATAATTAGTATATGATGAAAATAACCATAAGATACAATCATCAACCTTTGATTATGAAAATAAGAAGCTTAATCATATGATCCAATAAGAAAACAAAACAAACATATCTAATTATATGAACTAGTTTTAACAAAATACATATGATCCACAATAAGAATATGCTCCAATCATAAATAGACAAACCAAAACATGTAATTTAACAATATCATCAAGTACCAAAAATAAAATTATCATCATTGTTTAAACAAACTATGATTACAAAGTTTGAGTAAAATCTACATAACAATCATGAGTTTATACAGTAACATACATTTAAAACCAAACAACATCAACACATAAAACTTTACGGTAACAAAAACAAAGAAAATATTCAATGGTTAAAAATGTCTAATAATTTAATTTCAAGAAAAAAACATCGATTATTGTTATAAACATCTACATCAGTAACTATCACATATAAATAAATGACAACAACATGAAAGATGTTCAAGAATTCTCTTCTTTAGGATATGGTTTCTTTGAGACATTAGATCGAACACCTTATGAGCATCATTATATAAAGCTTCACTTTGATGCTTTTCCCTAAATTCTTCATCCATAAATATTTCTAAAACTCAGAAACTTAAAAGAATTGTTGTCAGTATTCAATATCATATACAATGAAGCTTAAATCGACAAGAATATGAAAATTAGGGTTTCAAAAATCACAAATTGTAACTATATTTAAGGATTATCATATCAAATTACATATCATTAGATATTACATTCATTATCACCGGTAAACTTATCTACCAACAACAAATTAAAGAAAAATCAAACAACAAACATCAAAAACAACTCAGGTCGAGCAAAAAATGAAACTAAAAACACTAGAAATTAAAAACGAAAGTTTACTTTCTTTCATAACTTGAAATTGAACCAAAACGGGCCTTAAGCACAAATCAATATGAAATGTGAATAACATGGTTATTTTTAATTTTCCATAAATCAATATGAAAGTTAAGTAGATTAGTATAACTGTATAATATCAAGTCTCGAAATTATGATATAAAACTATTATTTATTTATTATACTAATTAAATTTTAAATAATAGTAATAAAATTGAAAAGTACATCAACCAAATATATACAGAATGAGACTACACTACCCACAATTGTCGTGTAACTTTTTTTCTTTTTGATAAAAAGAAAAGACAATTTAAAATTGATATTTCATAGAAAAGGATAAAAGTCATAAAACTAAGACATAGGAGAGGTGAGGTGATAAATAGACTCCGCCATTTCTATTTATTGTTTGATTATTTTGACTTTTTGACCATTATTTTGAATTTTTGACCTTGACCGGTTTGGACCTAGCTCACTTACTACCTAGACCACTCCATTTTGCCTGATTTGACCGATTTCGCAACTTCATAAACAAGGAATATCAACTTCATTACTTGGAAGAAGAAGAAGAAGAAGGAAAGAAGTAAAGCGCAACGAGGCGGAGCCGTCGCCGTCGCCGTCGAACGGAGAATTCTGCCATTAGCAACGCTTTCGCAGGTAAAAATATATCATTATCTTCTTTTTTGTTTAGGATTCACTCAAAAATTGGCCTAAAATTTTGAAAATTTGTGAAATATGTATGCTTTGTAGTTACCTTTTTAGGTATTTGTTGAGACTTACTTTGCTTCCGTTAATTATCACATCTGGTAACTTTTTGTGATTAATTGGATAGTGCATGATGTCTGAAACTACAATTTTCTGATCGGATTTGGTGTCACCGATGATTGTAGATAATGTCTTTGTAACTAATCGTATAGTGAGTGCTTAGTTATGAAGGGCACATTATATTTGTAGATGTTAAATCATGGTGTTTATGCCCTAATTAGAAGTAGGATCATGCACAATTTACAAACAGGTTTTATACAAATTGCAACTTCTTCATGAAAAATTAAAGTCATTGTTTCTTTCCATCATCTCTCTTTCATTCCTTTTTGTTATCTCTGTTTCATAAACAGAGGTATGGTTATTCCTTTTTGTCAATAAATACTGCTTAATGATCAATTTTGGTGATAAATACTTAGTTGGTTTTTAATGGTAATGTATGTTGATATTGAAATGTAAAAACAGTAGGATCACATGGATTTGCACATCCAACACACTTCAATCTTACATTGATATAGAAATTGTTATGGTTTCATACAGAGTTCATAAGGTACTTAATTGATTATCATGTAACTGATTCTTGAAGCCACACCACTTTAAGTATAGTTATCTCAGCTCATTTTTTTCATTTATACTTATAGTGGTATCTAAAAATTTTAATAACAAAAATCAGTAAGGAGAATTTACGGTTATACCCTTGAGTCATTTTATCCGAATAGTACCTGTAGCATTAGCTTAAAAACCTAACCATATGTTTTTAATAGGAAAAACCATAAATTAAAAAGTTGAAATCGTTTGATAAATTTCATCAAAAAAACTAATAAAGGAACAACAAGATAAACTATTCAATGAACTGGTGAAAAACCAATGCATTAACAAGATGAAAGTTGGGGATCAATAAAGAAATTTTTGGGAAAGTACAATGTCTTATTAGGATTTTTTTTTATAAAAATGTGAATTTTAACTTCAGTTGAAACCATAATTGTCCTAATTGAAGCTTCAATCATGTAATCTGTTGATCTATTCTATCAACTATTTTATCTTGTGCTCAAAATAATTTCTCCAAGTAACTTCCAGGTTTCTTATGCTTGTTTGTATTGGTCTATAAATGTTTCCCAAGTTCTTGTATCATTCAGGAATCATGTAAATGATGGATCTAGGAATGCTTCCCAATTTGAGTATCAAGCCAGAGTTTTTGAACTAAGGGTGAATAGCCATCTTTTAGTCTAATATCTTCAGTTTTTAGCTGATTGAGTACTTGGATTTGACATATTAGTTGTGTCATGTGTCAACTTGAGCTCCATTTTGACTTTTCTGCTCAAACTCAAACTAATACTTTTGTTGCTTCCTCAATGATAGTTATGGCTATGGCGTTTGCTATGTTTATCTGTTTTGTGTGTTAATAAAAGTATGTTGCTATTATTTGCATTTAACTTGTTTCGGGTTAAATGCAAGAAATAACATCATACTTCTATTCATTTGTTTGTAATATAGCATGTGTGTTTGTGATGTTTATGATGCACCATTTTTTGCTAACCCCTTTTTCTTCTTTTTTATGCAGCAAAATCATATAATTCATTGCTTGATACCTGATTACCCTCTCTGCTTGTTCTCAAGATGTCCGCAAATGTTATATCTCGGTTCCCGGCGTACGGAAAAAAAGAATGGAAAATCTACAAGGAATCCCAAAAACTCTTCTGGGTGGCCGATCAAATCGACATTGGTGATGTAGCATCGGATTTTACTTCCACGCCAGCTGAACATCAAACTTTTTTAAAGTTTTGCATTGCATCTGCTGCTACGGACAACTTTCTTTTCAGAAGGATTTCTGTTTATTTCCTTGAAAATTTGAATGAATTGGAAGCGGTTTCTATTCTTGGGTACCAGTTGGTTGTTGAACAAAACCACCATGAATTCTATTCCCGTCTGCTGCAGAACTTGGTGCGTAGCGAGACAGAAAAGAGGGAGCTGTATGAGAATGTTGACCGCCTTGTCTCCCGTGCACACAAAACCGAATGGTTGGATGGTATTCATGACCGTTACCATTGGGTTGCTTACGCCTGTATCAAAGGTATTTTCGGGGCGACTATGCGTTTTGCAGCAGCCTGGTACAAGGTTAATCGGATCAATGGACATAAAGGCTTTTCAGTCGTATGTGATTTCATCAGCAGGGATCTGCAGTATCATTTTCAATGTGCTTGTCAAATGTACACTTGCTTGCCGTTCAAACCTCCGAATTTATATGTCAAACGCATTGTTAGAAGAGCTGTTGCAATCGAAAAGGGTTTCTGTCTTGAATCCCATTTCTGTTTAATCTCCTCAATAGCGGTGCCAGATATGATGTCATTCATCGACCATTGTGGTGAATTACTATATACCGCTCTGACCGGCTGTGTTCTAACGCCAAACGCACCTCAAGTTCCACTAGAATTGATGTTTGGTGAACATGTTATGATACCTCCACCCCAATCTTGAAGATGTGCAAGACCTAAAGAAATATGAGATGTTTTTTTTGTCCTTTTGTAACAATTTGTTGATAAAAATTAGTCATTAAGTTTGAACCGTGCTACTTTTAGAACTTTTGGGTGATAAACACGAACATACGACAATTCTATTGATGTCTGGATGGATTGACCATCCCTATGAGATTTACTTTTGTGATCCATATTGAATTGAAGTAGGAGTAGTTTGTTTTAATCTTTTTTTAATACAAGGTATATTTTGTGAATTTAAAATAACTTTATCATTGAATTTAAGAAGTTTTTTAGAATATCTTAAATTTGCCAATATATTTTCGAAAGAATAAAAAACCCATTATTACCATGACACAATAGGAATAAATCAACAGGCTCCACCTAGTAGTCAATCTTTTGACTTTTTGCACATCTTACTCCTACCATTCTTACTGATTTTGATACTCGCAAGGCAGTGCATTCACAAAGATAAAAAATTAACAAAATTCATAACAGTTTACCAACTTAATTCAACTATGTCAACACAGTAATTAAACTAAAATTTAGTAAAATCAAAATATGGAAAAACAAGTTTGTACCTATTGGTATCAACAAGGAGATCACAAGAACTATAAATGAGTTCTCTGAACCTGATTGTATCAGTTCTTCAATTGTTCTCATAAAAAGGTGGACTTTGGATCTTGCTTGGTGTTTAGGATGGAAAACAAATTATTTTATTAAGAAAACAAAAATATTAATGATAATATAACTATTTAGTAAAATGACTTTAATGCATGCTATAAAAAAATTGGGGAAATGGATCAAAATTAATCTATACTTTAAATATAAACTAGGGGTGAGCATCGGGACCTCGTATCCATTTTTGGAACCGAGGTTGGTCTTTTGTTGAACTATTGAATGTATTAAAAAACTAGCTAGATGCTAGCAAAAGAAAATAGTACAGCTTTAGTTCATGAGCGGATTTTACATCAACCCATTCCAGATTTTCCTACTCATAAGATTCCTATTACAAAACCAATTATAATAAAACGAGACAATAGAAATAACATGTCAGTAGAATCAAAAGTAGGAACCGAAATATCAACCCAAGTCGCAAACTTCTGCCACAAAGCTTTAGCAAGAGAGCACTACAAGAAAATGTGATCAACATCTTCCTCAACCTCAACACAACACAACACGGGCATACATAGAAGGAAGGTCAATACCATGCATAACAAGGTTACGTCTGGTCGGCAACCGGTTAAGAATAAGTCTCCAAATAAAAATATTAATTTTTATCGGAATAAACTTATTCCACCTGGTAGCAATACCACCAGAAGGCAATGAAAGAAGATCCAACTGAGATCTAGCTTCCTTCACCGAGAAATGATTCTCCACCCCGAGAATCCACTCCCACGAATCCAAACTGTTCGAAATTTGCATTGTATTCAGCAACCCCAACAAGGTCCGACCGCAACTGAGACTCTAACACTCCACCAAAAATTGGCCTTTTCTACGCAATCTTCGAATTATTCCCATTCAAATAGTACTAACCAAAGCATCATGACTTACACACAAGGCGTATAATCTAGGGAACCGAGCACTTAAAAGCACATCCCCCACCCACACATCCTTCTAGAATCTCTTGTAATTACCATTAACAACTTGTCTTCTAATAGAATAAGAAGGAATTAATCCATTATTATGCAAGTCCCACACCAATTTAACAATTGTTTTGGTAAAAAAAATTAACAAACTAATTTCGTAACCAAATTAGTAAATGTGGTGTGACGTTGAAATTATGATGTTAAGAACCAGAGTGTTAAAGATCTTAAAATATGTTGAAGATCTTGGTAGTGCCTAAGATCCTAGGAAGAAGATAATGATATTTAGAAAACTGTCCAATAGAGTTGATTTATATTAAAGTGTAAACAAGTATATTTGAAGTATTTAGGAAAAAAATAGTATTAAAAGGGTTGAAAAGTGATATTTGCGTAATATATTTGTATAGTGCTAAAAAAGGTATAAGGATACGATAGAATATCTTGATAATTCGATACGTAAACAGATTAACGATCAAACAGGTGTGTAAAAAGTGTTGTAATCGATCAAATAATCACAAGTAAAATCAAAGCGAGAACACAATAATGTACGAGGAAAACCCTTAATCCTTTTGGATCCCCAACATAAAAACTCAGGAGGTGATAAACTCACCTGCCATAGAGCTTATATTAAATTGTAAGTAAAAGTTACAAGTGCTAGCTGTTCTTAGAAAGAGTGTGTTCGTGCTCAAGTGTCGAGAGAATCAGAGAAGAAGAAGAAGTGAACATGTCTGTGTGCATATAACCAACCAATCTTTTATACATAACGATAATAACTAAAACTCTGAGAATCTTGTGATTCTCCTTGGTATTCGCTTAACCTGGCTTTCTCGAAGGTCTTTAACGTTCTTTAAATATTGACCACGTGTTATTGACTTGGTCTAAGTCTTTTCCGTTAAGCCTTGAATCCCTACATAAGATTTCACAAGAAAATTGATGGTATATGGGCTTGCTCGGATAGTCGGGACGTCTGTTTCATTTCCTAGGACATTCAAATTTCAATTAGTCCGCCAATTCCAGGGTTATAAATTCCCGATTTCCCAATCAATATTGCTTCAATAGATCAAATGTATAGGTAAGCTCCTTGCATTTTTATTTTCCTTGTATCATGGATAAAGCACTTATTCTCTCAAGTCATAAGAATAAAGGTTTCATCCTTGAAGATTTTACTGATCAGTGTGTCCTACCTCAGACTAGAAATGAAGTCAATACTTTTTCTATTTCTAAGATTAAACTCCTTTATTTGGAGGGAAAATTTCCCCGCAAATAGTTTTCAAACCATAAGATTCCAGGTTGAGGCCTGACTTTGTGTCCCCTACATGGGTTTGCTTCAATCATCTTCCTTTTTTGCATCGGTTTGTGTTTTCCCTTTCTTGATTTGGTTTATGAGTTTTTTTAAGATGACGGAATTCCTATATTCCCAAATCATGTCCATGGTTTGGCGTGTATTATGTTGGATTGATTATCTTAACAAAACTGAAAATCTCAATATCGGTCTTTCCGAAGCCGCGAGTGTGTATGATCATCAGACTTTTTGTTCCTCCTGAGTGATTTTTAAAATAAAACATGGAAAAACGCATATGGTTCTCAACACTTCTTTCCATAGTGTTGGGTGGCAAGTAAAATACTTCTTTGTTGATAGACACTTCCTTATTGATGGGAGATCTTTACCTTTAAACTGGGTTATTAAGGATAGGATTCCTAATTGTTTTAAAGCTTTGTTTCCTCTCACGAATGTTATCTAATTTTCTTTTGGTTTCTTGTAGTTATGAAGTTTGAAGATTTGTTTCTGTCTAGTGGGGATACCGTGGAGAAAGTTCAAAAATTTCTAAGGTAGTGTTTGTTTTTTTTCTGCAGATCTGCGTGGCCTCTTCTGTCTGCGCCGCGCTGACCACGCGCAAACATTAGCCTTCGCAGACTGTTTGTTTTTTTGAAGACTGCAGACCTAAAAATGTATGTGCGCCCTCTTCTTGGCGCAGATGTGGACCAGAGTCTTCTAACATCTTCAGACATCTTCTAGCCTAAAAAAACATATATATCTTTATTTTTTTAAATTATATTTTTTTCCAACTTTATTAATGATAAATAATTTGAAAAAAAAAAATTACAAAACTTAAAAAAAAACGTTCGACGATACAGACATGATATTTTTAACAAATTTATAAATAAAGATTTATTACAATAATAGTCGTTGAAGTTGTTTATATAAATATGAAAAAAAATCATAATATATTATTATATTTTTTTGCCAAATTTTGTAAAACATTATTGAATACAATATCGTCAATTTCTCGAGAAAAAATATTTATGGTACGTTTTTAATGGATTTAATTGAAAAAATCGAAGTTTATTTCCATCTATTTATGTATCAAATTCTTTGATCACTAATTATAATGTTTAGTTATAACTTTGTAACCAAAGTTGTTGGTTTTTATCAAATATATACGTTAATTCATACCATTTTTATTTTTATTTTTTATACAATAATACATAAAAGTTGATCTAGATTCGTTAATTATTTATAACAAAGTCATAAAAATATTAAAAAAATCACTTTGAAGTTTAAAAAAATCAGTTTATTTAGATTTCAATTTATTTTAGTAGCCCGCAGATGTTAAAAAAACAAACAGTCTTCTTTTTTCAGACTGCAGACGTTTGGTCCACCTCTTCTACTGCAGAGGTCTACAGATGTGGTCCGCAGACTGCAGACATTTTGCCTCAGAAAAAACAAACATCACCTAAGTGTAATGTCCCAAAAATTTTAAACCAAAAATTTCGTTTTCATAATAATAAAACCATCAAACCAACATGTTCATAACACCATAAAGGAAAATCAGAGTATGTCAATCAATCATCCTAATTCATCCAAAATCAAATAAGGCTAAACTCATGGTGTGTGCTATGCGATCACCTCGAGCTCTTCCCCTTTGAACCGAAAGTACCTGAAACACAAACTGAAAACCGTAAGCATGAAGCTTAGTGAGTTCCCCAAAATACCTCATACCATACATATGAAACATACAATGGACCATGCCCAACCACCAACGGGCCCCGCCCGACATCGAGCCCCGCTCGGAACAAATCTGTGTGTATCATGTGATGGGCCCCACCCAACTCACTCATCAGGACCCGCCTAGCGTTGGGCCTCGCCCGACATATATACAATATATGCACAGATGTAAGGTCACACAGAAAACTCGCATACAGATAACCATAATCCATGGGTCGGCATAGGTGCCTTTGACTCGCTAAGCACTGGGAGGAAACTCACCTCAAACTGCTGAAAAATCAAGTAAATGCTCGGACTGCTGATCCGGGAAATCTCCGCACTAAATATCATCAAACAATACCCTTGATGAGAATGAATCTCTTTAAGATCGATAAGATTCTTAACAAGCAACACAAGAACACAAAGAAAATA